TTCGTTTAATCCCGACGATTTCGAGGTTACGCGTACGCAGCAGAGGTTTAACAAAAGTTTAACGGCGAGGAACGATCGTTGACCTAAACGAGGACCCCGGGAAGGAAGTGCAGCGGAAGAAAGATGGCTCCGGCGAGGCTAGGACCTAAGGATAGCACGATAACGAATCCCTCTGTTCTCTCATCGATCGGCCTCTCGTTGCTCTTCATGCAGCCAGAGGAGGAGCTCCTTTTTAACTGATCCCGACAATGAGCGGGCGAAAGAAAAGGTGGAAAACGAGAAAGTTCGCGAGTAAAATGGAAAAGTCACGTGGAAATCCTCGAGCGGGGCATAGATCAGATGTCGGCTAACGTATATTGTACCCTTCCCTCTACCTAGTTTTCCCCCCTTTGTACAGCAAAATAGAAGTTCGAGGTTCGCTTGGAAAAAAGAGAGAGAGGTTTCGGTACGGATAAAGGGATGAATGGCGAGGCTGGAAACACCTTCCGAGTAAACGGAACGAAACGTCCGCTTGTTCCGCCTTTTATCGTCTCGCAGTGAAAAGGAAACTTTGATCTTGTTTCGGGAATCTCAGGCTGTGTCTGGCGTAAGTCTGGATTTTTCCTTGGAATATTTATGCGGCAGCGCTGATTGATTCTGGAGAGATTCGCGATAGGAACTGCGAAGATTTCCTAATTCTCCAACGCTTCTTTTTTTCTTGCGAAAGAAATGTCGAAGGTAGAGGTGCTCGAGTGCAAAGGTGATTTTATGTTAATTATCCCTCTTGAAGAAGGAAATTCCCGCTGTTTCGTAATTTTAACGTTAGAACAGAGATGTAAGTTTCAGACTACTCACATTCGTTGACAGACTTCGGGACAAGATGCAGGTGCTCCAGTTGCGTTCCATTCAGCGGCGAATCTGCAATGAAAAATCGATCAATGCAACCTAATCCCTCTAGTACATATTTATGGAAAATCAAAATAATCGCCAAATTCCCTCTTTGAAAGAATGTGGAGGTTCTGATATGAATTTTTTTGTTAAACAAAGGGTTAAGTAGGTAACAAATGAAATTTGGAAGAAATATGTGTAGGAACCGAAGAATATTGAGGGACCCAACGGGAATCGAGAACCCGAGACCTTTGGCTTACCCCAGCCGAGGCTTTGCGCGTAAAAACGTAGACACGGTCAATTCGTTTCAGGCCCACTGTTCGTGATTTGCGAACTTCGCGACGCGATGCTTGAGTTGACCGGTGCGCAAAGAATTCACGAACTGCTCTCGCGGCAAACTAATGGCACGAGTGCTGTTTAAATTTGTAGATGAGACTGTGGTGGGTGAAAAAGAGAATATATGGTTTGCACGATCGACAAATACTGGCTGATTGGTGGTGACTATTACTTTTTATTTTTCGTGATGTCTCAAGGTTGGTGATAGAATCTCTACTGGAATGTCTGATAGAATGTGAATGTTTCTGTGTGTGTTTGTGTTTTTATAAGTTCGGTGTGTACAGTGATTGGTGGTGTGAAATGTGTGAGAAGTGGTGGGAGTATCGGTTGATTGGTGTTTGGGCCGTGTGGTAGGGTTTGTCTGGTGGAGTCGAAGTGGGGAAATTGTTGCTAAAATAGTTATATTAGGGGATGGGAAAATCCTGAGGTCGGAAGGTGCTTTATGAGTGTGGTGCATGTGCTGTCCAGATGTAGGGTATTCGACTTTCGAAGGTAATAAAACAATTTGCTGATGGCGAGGAGAGAGAGCAATTTTACGGAAAATATACTATTGGTGAATATGGTAGGGCTCCATTGTTCGAGTCCTCGGTACGGTCGAACATCGATTGATTTGAATGACACAAAATTCGTTAAAAAATTCTTAAAGCTGCTGACTTTTTTCTGCGAATTTTGGGGAACTTGCAATGCACAGTGATTCCAAATTTTTGGCCGGTAGTGTATATGTATAATACAAAATATATATAAGATAAACCGTCCAAGTCGATACACTAGGAAAAAATTGGCCAAACAAATTCGCACACCTAACCGTAATGCGCAAAGGAACCTTGAAAAGCAAATGGAAGAAAGAGGAGAGAGATTGGCGAGGGTTAAGATCGAAGTCACGTATCGCTGATTTTGATCGGCAGCGGCACTGGCATCGACGACGAGGGCCTTGGGAAACCTTCTGAACGATATACCAGGTAGAAAGGGGTAGAGACAAGAGGCGTAAATGTAGGTGAAACAGAGGAAGGCCTTCGCGAAAGAGAAGAGCTGCTGACGCCGTGGTGCGGCTTAAGCTCCACCCCGACACCGATTGGTCGATGAAACCCTGCCGACTGAGGAGCGAGAGAGATGCTCCGCACCCCCGACAACCCATCTTAAACGACCCTCCTGAAAATATATTATGCAACGCGTAACGTGTGCAACCACTCGTAGGCTCTGATAGCTCTTAAACCGGCACGTACAAGGCCCAAGAAGAAGATTTTCACAGACTGTTCTCGCCTTTACTACGCGTACAGACTCTCCGATGGCTTCAACCGCCGAAAAGAAACACCGGAAATCCCTTCGATCTCGTTCACTTCCGCTCGTCAAACATTCACGATGCTCTGTAAGCTTAGCCGAGTGAACTGATTTTTGATAACTCGCCTGTTTTTCTCTTTTTCTTTCTTATCGGAGGATTTGCGTTGTTCGAGTGAATTGCTTAGGATTAGCTTTGTGTGATTTTGCGAGTGACCCAGAGAAAGAAGGTTTCGCGATATTTCAATCCTGAGGAATTGATATTTTGATAATACCAGTGTTTCTTTTTGTCGCAGGATTCATACTGTTTTCGAATTTTTTAGGATTACTTTTGTGTCATTTTGAATTCTTAAGGGAAAGGGAATTTTTCTAAGCCCTCCAAGAAAAGGTTTCGTGATCTTTAAATCCTGAGGATTCGATTTCTGATAACTGCGCCGTTTTTTCTTCTTTCTTGTCAGAGGAGCAATATTGTATCTCGAAGTCCCCCGGAATAAGGAAATTTCGCGATCCTCAAATCCCGAGGAATTGATTTCTAATAACTCCACCGTTTTTTTTTTTTTTTTTAATTTTTGCCGGAGGATTAATATAATTTCCCAAGTCCTCCAGAAGAAGAAGGTTCCAACGTTGAAGTTCTTATCGTCCCTGACCATTTAACCACCTAAACCAACACCACCATTCCCCTTTTCCCCATATTTACGCAAATGTTCTATCGCCCCGCGACGATAAATTTTCAAGCGAATTTTCGAGCAGCTCCTCAGACATTTTCCATTCGCGTTAAAGTTAGACGAAAGATCCACGGAGTTGGCGTTTAGCGCATGCAACGAGGACGACGGAACTGTCAGGTGGATTTACGCGGCGCGTGCGAGACCTCGAATAATTCCTGACGTCCAACGAACGCTCGTCGTTATCAATTTTTTCATACCAGCCTCACCAAACCTAACCTCACCTCGCCTAGCCAAGCAACTATTCCACGAAATATCGCACGGTCAAGAAACTTCCTCTCGCAATAAGATTTATCTACGAAACCTTTCATACGCCCCTTCCCATAGATCGTCGAATTAATATTTCATCGATTTATCCTCTAGCTACTTCGAAAACGCTATTCCTCCAGAATATCCACGTCGAGGGACTCCTCTTCACGTGTTGGGTCAGCGGGAAAATTTATTATCGCGAATACGGAACCGTAGGAGAAGGTCCATTGGTACAAAAGCACTTGAGGATATTAGAAACATCCCTGTCGTCGTAAATATGACACGATAGCGAAGGGAGAAGACTATCGTCCAGATAGTGGCAATAACATTAATGCTCTTTCTTAAAACACATTCCGAAGAACGTCCCCTCCCTCTCTCTCTCTCTCTGAATAAAACCGTCTTTTCTCGCGCGAGCTCTGACAGGCCACTCTGGCTAAAAAGAAACTTCGAAACGAAACGAGTGATAACTAAAGAAACTCTCGCCAACTGTATACCTACACACTCGGTTCTTCTTCGCGAGCGTAACACGTGTCACGAAAAATAAGACACTAAAGAAGAAGTGTAGCAGAGGAGAGAGGAACGACAGTGTCGCATGTCCCAGATTTGATCAGCGACGAGGCCACGCTTGATCTTCGAGATTACAAGTCTCGTACAAAGACTGGAAAAAGAGGTGTTCGTGGAGCGAGAACAAGTGGACCAAGGGTGGACAGTTCCATCAGCCTGGCCTGAAAGCAATCACGACCAGATAGTTCCGATATATACAGTGTCGTGTATAAGCGTGGACAGGTTGATGGAAAAATGGGAGGAAGACATGTGTGACCATCCAAGGCGACACTCTTTGATTGTCGAAAACTAGAGGAGAGGAGAGGAGAGTGTTTCATCTGTGGTTCGCGACAGCGAATCCATGGAACGTGACATCGCGAGCTGGAGGTCACGGAAATCAGTCGAGACTGGGTGTGCTTCCCTTCCTACTCGAGAAGATAAAGTGACACTGAACGTGACACTGCCTCGCGTGCGCTATCTCGATCTCGTACCAGCGTAGGATCCTTCGAGTACTCGCGGCGGCTGCATGGAGGAAATACGCGATTTCGTCTAACAAGCGAGGCGAACGCGAGCAACAGCCGCGGTTCTCGATTAATTGTTCGTCGTCGATAGCGGTAACGACGTGGATCGTGCCACGAGAAGTTTGGTTTGATGGGAAAGAAGGGGATTTTGCGTTCTTCGAGGACGATTTTTTGAAGTTAGAAAAAATGGTAAAAGTGATCTTGTTTTTTGTTCATTTTAACTTTCCGTCGCGCGCACCCATTTCTGAAACGCCATCGGGATCTTAGAGATCGGCCTTCAAAAGGTCTTTTACCAAGTGGAAAGTAACTAACGATAGGAATAATAGAAGAACAAAAGACATCAATATTTTGAGCACATTTGCACATTCGTCGCGTCTATATACACAGATGAATTATGGTTGCACCTGAGAGATCAGGTGCGCCCCACGGAGGGTTAAATCGAGAGCAATTGAACTGTTTTCTTCTTTTTGTTAGGAGATCATGTGATAAATTGTTGCTCGCTATATTTTCATTTTTTTTTTACCACAAATATTGGAATTTTCTGCTTTTACGGATTTGGATGCTGGGACAAATTTAGTAACAGTTTGAAAAAATGTGTTTTGAGTTGTATACACTGCCGTGGTCAAAAGTTCGGGGCCATTTATCGATTCACAACGGTACTGCAAGGATCAATTAGCATTATGCTTCGTTTTTGTAGATCTGAGTAATAAAAGATCCATTTAAACTTTCAACATTTTTCTAAAAATTATTGTACGCTGGAAAATTATGTATTCCTGGCTACAACCGTTGATTTTTCACAGATTCCCAACGAACGTAACAGGCATTTAATTCGTCACAAAAAATTGTCGTATTTTTTAAGGTAGTACAAAACTGAACCTCTAATTTCCCACGAAATTCTCAAATCCGCCTCATCATCGGAAAGTTCCAACAGTCCTACAAGGGAAGAATCTCACCAAACCAAAGAAGACCCCCGATCCAAAAATGATCGAAGCTCGTACATCAAGTTCCGAAAAATTCACCTCGTCGCTATCTCCGCTCGCGTCATAAACTCCCCTCCATCTTTCCGCGAAGGATAAGCTGTTGGTAACTTGGAGAATCAGGGCGACACGGAGTAACACGGGAATCGAATTGGGCCTGGCTTTTCCGTGAGTTTCAGGTGTGTCAGATGGAAGCGATTCGAGGAAGTGGAGGGTTGGCGGAACACAGAAGGGGAGGTTGGTCTGGCAAAGCGTACGAAACTTGGGCGGATACTGATGAATATTGAAACCGCGGCGTAAACGTGTGTACGTGTTCCGGCCCGTTTCCTAGCGGATATTTGAAAGAGGAAAAATGGGTCGCAGAGCCCTTTTTCCCCCTCGCGGATCTTGACGTGCACTCGCCAAGA